CTAAACCCTAAACCCGGGGGGGGGGGCGCCGGTCCTTGGCTTCAGGTGGCCAGCCGACCCCGGACCCCGGGCCCGAGGAGGTTGAGGACGGCACAGAGGAGAGAGGAGCCCGGGCCGGCCTCTCCCATGCGCTCGACTCCAAGAGGCTCCCCAGTCTGCAGAGTTCTGAGGGCAGTTTCGAGTTGACGATGTTTGGCTTAAGCTTTTGAGTGAAGAGGAGATTTTTGGGGTTTCGAGTGAAGCTGCGGCACGGTAGGTCTGAGCCCGCCGAGCACGCGTCCGGCCTCGATCGAGGAGCATCGGTACCCTTGCACCGGTACCCTTGCACCGTAAACGCTAAGATTTATAGAAACACCACTATGTTGCTGAGCTCTTTAAGGTCTACAACTACAGAACCATTAAAGCTCCGAAGCGAAGAATGCATGCCATGATCGAATCAGACCATGGCTCCCGTGATCTAAGAACCAGAGGACCGGTGCTCCGAGTTGGAAAGCTGCGTCGCTCGAGCACAGAAGGCGCGCCCTCACCCACGGGTTGGGCCTCGGGGGCTTCTGCTGATCGTAAGTAGGCCGGCTGCTTCATCTTCGGACCCCTCAATTCCCGGTCGGCCTTTCACAGTGGATGCCGAAAGGCTGCACGGGCATCTCTCGGTCTCTGTCTCTGTCTCTCCCTCCACCCTCTCTTTCTCTGTCTCCCGGTCTCGTGTACGCGATGCCAGGCACGGGTGGAAAGGCGCCTTGGCTCAAAGGCAGGCCCTGCGGCAGTCAAGATGCGACCGCATTCTCCAGGCAGCTTGGCCGACCAGCCGAGGACCAGGGCACGGGAGGGGCCAGGGCCACTGCAAGGGAGCATGTTCTGAAGGACTTCCTTTCGAGAGGCTGTGATTGAGTGCGATGCCAAGGTGTTCGTGCAGCGGTGCGGTAGAGGTATGCGCCGACAGCGAGTGCTGTTCTACGGCGGCATCATATGCATACATCTATCTATGTTATATAGGTATGTATGTGTGAGTCTGTAAATATCTGTGTACATGTGTAGCGTCGGTTGCAGTGCCACCATTCGCTGTCGCTTGAGGCACGGAGTGCCCCTTGAAGTGCGAGCAGTTAACGTCACACCAACCGGAGAGCCGTGAAGCGGCCTTCGGGAGACAGAGCAGATGGCCATCGATCTAGTAACGTGCACGTGCGTAGTAACTTAGTACTTTATAACCCTGTAAGATTCCTGTTTCTGGTGGCGGCTTTTCTGCCCCCCGGCCTGGCCCTCGGTCGTCCAAGCGCCACAGCGCGGAGCCCCACACGTGTCCAGCACGTCAAAGCAGGGCTCCGCTCTTTTCCGCGCCAAAGGGCCAGGGCTTTTCCCGGTTTTCCGGTGCTTTGCTAATGCGAGCTGCTGCGAGCTGCTGCGAGCTGCTGCGTGGCTCAGATGCAGCAAAAAGGCGCGCGGGGCGCGGGGAAGGGCCGAAACTCGCGAGCTCGTGAGCATGCTAGTTTTGGACTTTGGACTCGAGCACGCTCAACGCTCGAGGAAGCCAAGCCCGCGCTATGTCCTTCGACTCTGAGCCTCCAAGCGAGGATTGGAATATCTTGGAATCTCAGACAGCCCCCACGGCCCCCACACCCCATCACAAGTCCAGCCCACACCATGCCATCCACGTAAGACGTAAGGAGAGCCAGACACCCTAAGAGCAGGAGAGATGGCAAGTTCAGCCATGGTTCCTGATCGATGACGACGCTCCTTGCAAAGCAAGTTGCAGCATTCCGGCATCAGCATGGCCTCGGCCTCGGGACACGCGAAGGGGAGGGCCAGGGCCAGGGTCCCGGCCTCCGAAGAGAGCCCGGATCCAGGCATCTCCTCACTGGGGCCAAAGAGAACTGCAGCACCTTCCGTGCTGTTCACGCCTCAGGCCTGGGGTCTGGGGTCCGGGATAGCAGGGGCCTCCTTATAGGATCTAGGCGATGAGGTCACATGCATCTTATCTGCAGAAATACAGCATGCTCTTGCTTGCGGGGTCTCACCTAAACAGCCCAGCGCGCCAGAACTACTCTTCATCTACATGCTTCAAGCGTCTCGGATGCAGGAGGCGAAGCGCGTTGAGCCAGAGGCTTTCGCAGCGCTGGCGCTGCGGGGTGTGGAGCAGGTACGTCTTTCCGGGTTCTTCGCTCATCGGTACGCGCTGCGCCCATAGAGCACTTGCGCCCCGGGGACGATGCGGTATCGAAAGGCTTCCCTCCTGGATCCTGAGATCGCCTCGCCTCCCGGCAGCAGGAAAAAGCACCGGGCTTCGCAGGTTTGACGTGGGTTTAGGGGGGGCTTTCTTCTGAGATCTTCCCCTTAGGTACGGCAGCCTCTTCGAGGGTCCCCAGAGAGACCGAGACCTGATGACGCGGGAGGTGCCGACTGAGGGCTCTGGGTTGAGGTCAGTTCGTGGTTCCAAAAAGGGCTGCGAGAGAGGGGGTGCCGGGTGTGACCGTGTTGCTTGCAGGAGAATGCGGCGCTGGATGAGAAAATCCACCATCTGCTGCTGCTCTTGTCGCTTGTCCATCAAGCAAGGCTTTTCTTTCTGAAGAAGCAACCGCGGCTTGCAGATGGTGTTCTCCCTCCCTCGCCCGGCCTCCCAGTCTCCCTAAATTCCTAAATCCCGCCCTGCTTCCGTTCATCCATGCTACGACTTTCGACTTTCTCTTGACATTCGGCCCTCTTTTCCCATCTCTCAGGTCGCCGCACCTACAAGCGACCAGCGCCCAGGAGCCCGGAACGACGGAACGACTAATGACGCAAGACAGTCTCAGAAAACATGCATTCATTCGCACACACACACACACACAGAAGCGCGCACGCATCAATAATGCCTGCATGCATACGCTCATTCACTCAGTGTGGTCGTCCATGTTGCCTGAACCAGCGAGCTACCAGATATTGACTATAGTTCCCGTGCCGTCACGAGACAAGAGGGTGTTCGTTGTTAGTGGCTTTGGCAAGTGTCAGCGAGGGACTGAGCGAGCACGCAGGCGAAGAAGCTAAGTGAGTAGTAGAGAGTAGTAGAGAGTAGTAGTGTCTTGACAACTTCATGGACAGCGCCGTAAAGCAAGGTAGGGTCGGCATCATCCTCATCCTCCTCCTCCTCCTCCTCCTCCTCCTCATGCTCATCATCATCATTATCACCGAAGGCACCTGCGCCATGCTGCTCACGTTGTTCATCACCTTCATTGATAGCATCTCTGTGTCAACGTTCCTTCGTCTTGCTCGTCGCTCTAAGCATATGTGTCACCGGCGTCATCATCGTGAGCAGCATGGACGGTGGTGCTCAGTCTCCTTGTCTCTGACAAGTTCTTCTGCCTGGCGCAGGAATGTTTGGAGGGTCTTCTCTACAGGCGCGTGAAGCCGAAGTGGCGGTCACTGTCTTGTGCCTCGTTCCAGTTTGAGGTACCACGCACATCGGTGGAATGTGGACGATCTCATGGGGGCCGCCTTGCCACACCATGCCTGCGTCCTAGTTCTTCAGCGAAGGCTTTTGGGCATCGGCATAGCTGGTTTCAGGGCAGAGTCTGCAGACCGAGGACTCGCCCCTGTTCACAAAGCTTGTGCAGGCCGTCAAGAGCTTTTTCTGTCCAGGTGAATAGATCCCCTTGTAGGAGCAGCCCAGGACCTTCATCAGAGGAGGCATCTCACGCAGGGAAACGCCAAGCCTTTTTTTAACGCACTGGCTTCCCTGGCTCCGCAAGACTTGGGGGGTGGTGACTTTTGGTGGATTTCCTGACAGGAAGTCCTGAGCGTGGGGCAACCCTACAACCCTGAAATGCAGTTCAAAAGTCTCCGGAAGCACCCAAAATCCTCAAAAAAACCCAGGCGCTAAACGTCCCTGACTCAAGAGCGAGCCAGGGACTGCACGTTGAGGGCAAACCGCTCTGGTCCTGGCTGGCCACCTTGAAGGCGGGGGCCATAGGCATATACAGTTTCAATGATGAAGGGTTTGAGGCTATCCGGGTTGGAGGGTTGAGGCGTCTGCGGCGTCTCCCTGAGGCTTGTTTCAAGTCTCAAGGGGCCAGGGTTTCAAGGCTTGAGAGTGTTACTCTAGGTCTTGCTTTCAGCGCCCATCTGGGCGCTTCTGGGGAGAGGCCAAGCCGGCGGCCCTGCTGCGGTCCGCCTTGGCCAAGTACTGCGCGAAGGAGCCTGGGCTGGGGAGGGTCCTATTGTGATGACACTTTTTTTTATATAATTAAAATATAATTATCATCTTACAGTTTGTTGAAGAGTCTGATCATTGCGAGTCGTAAGGATGGTTGCTTGCCAGACTGAATGCCTCGGAGGACATCGCCGTGCTGATTTTTGTCGGGAAGGTGATGGAGGCTTGCAGAAGGAAACAGCACGTGAGTCCTTTTGGTCCCCCTTTGCCAGGAGAATCTGAAACTTCAGAAGCCCAATCGTGCTTTGATGACGTTCTACGCGGCGCTCTGGCTGGACACACTGGCACTCCAGGGGCCCGGGTTCCCAGTGGGTTCCGGAAAACTCGGAAGAACTAAAGTGGTAAAGCAAAAGCCGAAATGGTCCACGGTCTCTTTTGGGAGGTCGCTGGCGCAGGAGCTGGTTCAGGCCATGAAGTGCATGTGCACTTTGAAGTGGGCTGGAAGTGCTGTGCAATTAATTCGCGAGGCCCTCTTGCCCACCCTGATGCTGATGCTCCGGCGGCCGCAACCCAAAGACGCCTTCCATGCTGCCGGGCCCCCAAAACAAGGGGGAACGGGGTAGGCCCAAATTTCAAAAAACTGTCCTTCCCGAGGGCCTCACCATCGCGGGAGCGCTTTGCACCAAAGTGGAGCTGGAGGCAGAGGGCGTGGTCGCATGCGATAGCCATTGCGATAGCCCGGCAGAGCAGTTACGTGTCTCTCCGCAGAGTGGCGCCCAAGGCCAGCGTGCAGAGCAAAATCATCCACTTCGCCGCCCGACAGGCCACTTGAAGCCCGGCAGCGATGCCTTCGCCCGCCTTCTGTTGTCTTGCAAGATGAGATTTGTCAGAGGCGAAGGGAGCGGAGGGCCAGCCGGCAACGGCACTGATGGCGGCCGTCCTGCAGCTGCAGGCAGCGGACGCTGCCACCCCTGGCAGAGAGCCTCTTGCGCCGTCCTTTGGGAGGCAGTGCAGAGCGTTGACAACGCGGCGGTGAAGGCTTTGGCCAAGCACGGCCCCGAGGCGAAGCCAAAACAAACCCTGTCAAAAAACCCTCTCCCAAAAAAAAAACAGGAAAGGGACTACCAAAAGGGCCCTCTTGGCAGGAGCTGCTGGAAGCTTTGCCGGTCGGGGTGGACTGCGGGAATCTGCTGGCCAGCGTGGTGAAGGCTAAAGGGATCATGTGGATGGTTTGAGGGTCTGAGGGGCTTAGAGTTCTGGGGGTGTTGACTTTCCTCGCCCGATCTCTCGTCACTACTGCGTGATGTGGCATTCACGGCACGCATGTTATCGGCTTTTTCGACGGGACGGTGCAAGTGACCTACCAAGCCTGCATGGGTGTTTCTGCAGCGATTCTCGACTTGTCATCACCTGTGTATTAATAATTACTAATACTAATACTAATACTAATACTAATACTAATACTAATACTAATACTAATACTAATACTAATACTAATACTAATACTAATACTAATACTAATACTAATACTAATACTAATACTAACATATTAGTATTAATACTAATACCAATACTAATATTAATATAAATCCTAATACTAATATATTAGTATTAATACTAATACTAATACTAATATTAATATTAATACTAAGACTAATATATGAGTATTAATACTAATACTAATACTAATAGAGGAGGATAGCTGAGCCGTTCTTCACCAGCCTGTGTCACACGGACAGGCGGGCCTAGGCCAACTTGCAGAACCAAGTGAAGCCAGCGAGGAAATAGAGGCTGGCATTGATTCGGGCTGTTGCAGATGCCAACTTGTCTTGCTGATCTGATTTGTCAGACTTGTCAGAGGTGATACCGGGTTCCAAAACCCTGGAATTACGATCCGAGACCTTCTGGTGATCTAGAAGAACACTCTTTGCTAATATTCTAATGCCATTCTTTCGATGCTTCTGGTCTCTCCTTTGGGCCCTGGGCAGAGAGGCCTTGATCCTCGGGCTCCTCCGGGACGCTCCCACGCTGCGCCGCTACGCGGCGCCGCTGAGCGCCGCGGTGCTCCAGGCAGGGGCTCCCCTTGAAGCCCTGAAGGCTTCTATGATTAGGCAAAGTGGCTATTCTGTTAAAGTCGGTCCTTCCAAGAAAGGGTACCAGATGACTGGGCCCTTGCAGGGTTCTGGGGGGTTTGGGGGGAAAAGGGGGGCGAGCTCGCCGAGGCCTTCGTCTCCGCGATCGCGGGCAACAGCTCTGCGAAGGAGCGGAAGCGCATCACCAAGCTGTACCAGGCCGGTGTTTTTTAAGGAGGGGATGCTCGGATGCTCAAGCCAGGGGGGGCCATGGGAAGTTGAGGAGCCGGTGCAGCTGCTCAGCGGCACAGTCCCTGCCGCACTGGCCGAGGCATCGCGTTGCGCCGGAAAAGCCGCGGGTTTTTCTGTTTCCGGAGTTCGGGTGAGGCCATCCGTCGAGCGGTGGATCAGGCCTTGGCTCTGGAGGTGGACACTGAGCCCTTGGCCCGGGGCCCAGAGGCCCAGCTGATGGCAAGTCTTGTTCGGCAATGCTCTTGAGGTGAGCCTTCTGGCACCAGCCTGTGCCGCCGTGAAAGGCGAGGAGGGCGACCAGGAGAAGCTGCTGCCGGCCGTGCAGGCACGGTTTTCGATCTCCTTCTTGCGGTGATGCTTCATGTTTGTTCGTGCCCCGAGCGAGGCTTTCCAGCATAAGTCAGCAAAAGCCCGGGCGCCGAGCAAGGCTCATCAGCTCTTGCACGCGAGCTCCTGCTCTGGGCTCTTTTGAGGTCCGATCCCGGGCGGTTCAGACTGCAGTCGCCAAGCTTGGGGAGGACCAGGAGGAAGGCGCCAGGAGGGCAGAGGGGTTTCGCTTTCAAGGCCACGTCGTGGGCGTCTGGGCCACGGCAGGCACGCAGGTCACGCAAGAGAGGCGGCGCCTCATGGCCAGCCCAGAGCCCAGTGGTCCAGCAAAGAGCTGGCGTGAATCTTTCGCCACCACCCATCTTCTGCCAGGCTTGGCCTTGCAATCTCTGGACGATGAGAACGTGGAGGCGCCCACAGAGCAAGCGCGCGCGTGCGCATGCGCACGTTCCGCACGCCTTGGGTTGGGAACCCTTTGGCTTGGGGGAAGGTGGTGGCCGTGGCGCTGAAGCAAGAGACCTTGTGGACCTCCTCCGAGGTTGCGTGCTGTGACGCGCCGTGGTGGGCACGTGGCTGTCTCTGCTTTTCCTCTGCAGGTGGCTCCAAGCACGGCCGCTGACGTGCTGAGCGCAGCCTTGCGCAGGAGTGAAGAGAGACGAGAAGAGAAGAGATCTCTGCCTGAGACAGAAGCTTGGGCTCCTCGGCCTCAGGCTGCTCCGCCATGGTCAGTTTAAAGGCAACCCGAAGACTCTCCAAGAGCTCTTCCGGTCCTTGCTGCAAGAGGCCACGGGGATACCCTCGCGACGTGACGCGGTTGAGGCAGCTGTGTCTTCGCCAGGACTCGCGCGTGCGGGCTCTCTTCCCGCTCATGATCCAAGCATCTGCCTGGGTCTATGGCCGCGAGGATGCAGAAGAGGAGCGGAGGAGGCCCGGGTCGGCCACGGCCTAGACGTGGAACTTCAACTGCACACAGTTGTATACCGCTCTGTTCTGCAGGCTGGATGCCCTGCTCTTGCCTCCTCTCCTTCTAGCCTTCGCTGGCTTGGATGCTGCAGAGGCGTGACCAGGAGAGGCAAGGGGATTTTTGAGCGGCTCCGAATTTTTGCCCCAGGAAGTCGCTGGACCGCTCCTTCGATTGGAAGAGGCAGCTGCGGAGTTCTGCAAGGCCACGGCCGTGGCCGCGCCTTGCCGGGGCTTCCTCCCAAACACACGTACGAACGGCACCTGCCTGCCCATTTATATACACAAGTAGCTAACTACCGCTAAGTAAGTAAGTAGTAAGTTGCTATGTAAGCAAGCAAGCAAGCAAGCAAGGAAGCAAGCAAGGAAGGAAGGAAGTAAGTAAGTAAGCAAGGCACTCATTCACTGACTCACGCATTCACTCACTCACTTACTCACTAACTCACGAACTCACTAACTAACTGACTGACTGACTGACTAACTAACTAACTAACCAACTAACTAACTGACTGAAGAACTAGCTACCTGACTCACTGACTAACTCACCAGCTCATGTATGCATACAGATAAAGAACATAAGTCTGTATATATATATATATATGTATATATATATATATGTATATATATATATACACATATACACACACACAGACACATACATACAAATGCATACACCGAATACATACATACATGCATGTGTGCTCATGAAAATGTGCCTGCGCATACGCATGTATGCATATAATATCTAAAATCCCTGAAGTTCCTGAAGGTGTCCGAGGAGCCGCTGCTGAAGGGCGACAGGGCAGCAGAGGCCGACGAAGGCTGCGGCCCGCGAATCAGCGCAGTGGCTCAGGACCGTTTAGGGAGGGAGGAGGGGCAAAGGGCCGAGGGGGGGCTTCGATTTTGGGCTTCTCCCTTTTAGTCCTTGCCGCTTTCAACTTATCGGCGCTTTTTGTGTCGGAAAGCGATGCGAAGACATCAAGACATAAGGTCTGGAAGAAGGGAGCAGCGATGGTGTCAGATTTTCGCCATCATTGTTACTCCTTCTCATGATCCTCTAAACCCTCAAACCTAAACCCGTCACCAGGCTATCATCAATCACCAGCTTTGCCGTTCTCTCATATTGTCTCGATGATCGCTTTTCTCAATTTCCCAGAGTTGCACATGATTTGCATGACTTGCTACTCATCGGCCATGGCAGACTCCTGCTTTGTTTCCCCGGGTCGGCTCTGGAGGGCAGGGACCTACCCCATGAGATCCTCAGAACCGGAGAAGCTGGAGACGCACCCTGTCTCTGTGTAGGGGTTTCGTGTTGGGTGTAGTCGGTGTAGTCTCAATCTACGACGAAAAGAAAAGAACCCCACCTTGAACCCCAGCAGCACAGTCTGAGATCTTCCCAGGCCGCAGATGACGAAGCCTGCGAGCGCCTGGCTGACTTGGCTGGTGCGCAAGCCGAGGCGGCAACAGGGAGAGCCTGCCAAGCGGGAGAGGGTGAAAAGTGTCCCAAGCGTCTGTTCGTCCGCTTGTCTCAGTATCCGCTGATCTGCCCAGCTAGCTAGCCCCAACTGGAGAGGTATTTTTGCATGCATGCATATACTTATATTATATAAGACATCATGTGGATGCATGTTTCAGCATTTCTCTTGCCCTGATAGCGCTGGCGAGGTGCAGCTCGCAGGCTCGGCCGAGAAGTGGCGAATGGGCTTCGATCCCTTTGATGCTGTGCAGGGGTCGCTTTGAACCTCGAAGTCTCATGGGAGGCCTTGGCAGCCAGGTGGCGGCGGCTTCGGTGCTGGCCGCGGCACTGCAGCGGCAGAAGGCCCCCCGAAATTCCGGGCACGCTCGCTTTCAGGAGAGTCCCCCCAGGCTCCGTGCGTTTCTGGCTCTTGGAGGCACCCAAGCTGGTGCTTCGCAGTGCGGCGGCCTGCCAGAGGCGGCTCTTGTCCTTCTCTGCAGCTCTGCAGCTCTGCCTGTCTGCCTGTCTTTTCTGATGCAGTGGGGCCGGAGGCTTGCAAAGCATCTCGTGGCGAGCTCCCTGACTTCCGACTTGCTCAAGCCACTCTGGAAGGCTCCGAATCCGAAGCGCCGCACGAGTCGCCGCTGAAGACTTTCTTGGAAGAAGCGCCCTCTGTGAATTGCCGGCAAGGCCTGCCTGGAAGCCGCCGCCTCGCCAGCGAGCAGCTCCTCGCGGCGGAAGAGTGGCAAGAGCTCCTTGAATTCCGCAGGATGGGGTCTCGGGGTCTCGGCACCGGGAGGGTCCCAGAGCCAGAGTTTGGGCAGCCCTGCACTGCCCTGCACCTGCGGAGGCTCCGCGGAGGCGGCCACTCTGCTCCTGGAGGTGGCTTTGATGCGCCCAAAGGCCTTCGCAGCCCCTCGGCCGCCTCTGCTTGGGAGCCGCAGAGTGTCTCAAGAAGGGCCACTACTCTCTTTTTTTCGGCCTGCATTAGATTCTATGCTGGTTTCTCGGGGACCCATAGCCCATACCCCCTGCGAGTCTCAGGGCGATCTGCATGCAAGCCTCACTTGCGGTGCGGCGGCGCTGAGACCGGTGCCTCGGCTTTCACGCGAAGCCGGGGCTTCCGAAGAGCCGGGTAGAGCACTACTCCACTGTTGTTGTCTTGGCGTTGACGTTGATCCATTTCAGTGAGGTATTTTTTTGCGTTTTAGCAAAGGACAGGCAACTATGTTTTTTTTGGGGGATTGGGCAAAGAGGCGCCCTTCGACTACCAGTCCGAGTGACTACAAGCCTTGACCCCGAAGACTGAAGCAACTTCGACAAGGAACCCCTCGCCAGTTTTGCGCAATGGCACCTAGATAGAGTGTAAAGGTATTATGTAGGATTCTAGAATGAAAGCAAGGGCCCTCCTCCCTTAAAACGCCACTGCTCTCCGCTGATCCGATCCGACGGCGTAGCCAAGGCCTTGCTGCAGCTGTCGCTCGGCTCTCACGGAGGCCTTAAGGGCCCGGCCTGCCACGGGGGGCCTCTATAGCTTACTACAACCTCTCCGTGTGTAGTGTTCAGAAGGTGCGAGGACCGGGTTCGTAGGATTCAGCGCAGGGCTTGTGATCGGCACGACGCAGGCCCGCCTGGCATCCGAGCCAATGCGCTTCTGCTCCTTCGTAGCCTCCTCGTGAACGGCTGGGCTGCCGTGCCGCCCTCGGTCGTTCCCAGTTGCCAGTTGCGTTGTCTGCAAGAGATTCCGCCTCAGGATCAAATGATGCTGGTTCTCCTCCTTGCCCGCCTCGCGTCTACGGAGGCCTCAGGTTGCCACCGTCTCTGGATTTATGATGAGACGGCGGGAGCACGCAGGAGAAGCAAGTTCGAGCTGCATCGGTGGCCGTCCTGGAGAGCCTTCAGGCAGCGGCAGTGCACTGCCTTAGCAATTTGTTGAGGGGTTCGTTGGTAGAAAGTGGGAAACGGGCAAAGCTGAGGGGTGCTGGTGCCTGCGCCGCAGGCGGCCTCGATGGATGACTCAGTGGACACCTTGGTGGAGGCCGTCTCCATGTAGGACGCACCGCACCAGACCAAAGTTAAAGTTAATGTATGGTTAAACCAGAATACAGGAAAGAAGTTCTCGACATCAAGCCCTCTTGTGCAGTTCTTCTGCCAATTCTGCCTACAGGCGAAGCTCCTGCTGCCCACGGCATCCGTTGGACCAGAAAAGGCGATCGGCACATCATAGCACAGTGCAGCAGGGAACAGCAGGTTTGCGTGATGCCAAAGCCTTCCTTTGGCTGCGCAGCCTTGGCAGCTCAAGGGTCCCTGAAAGAGCGGTGATGCAAAAGAGGGGCCCAGGCCTGTGGGTGCCGCTCAGCCTCTTCTTCTGGGCGGCGGTCTTTGGCGCTTTCATCACTTACAGGGTTCTGCGCATTCTCAATGTGCCAGTCACGGACACCTCCTTACGGCCCTGTGCAGCTCCCCGGCTACGCGCCTGCGCCACGGATGCTGTCTGTGCCGACCTGCAGCCAAACGCCGTGAATCCCTTGCCTCCCACATTTTGGAGTGCAGAAGGCTTCGATCTGCAGTACAAGCTGCAGTCCTCCTGGAAGACCATGGCCCATGAGAGCCAAAGCTTGAAATCTGAGCTCAAGGAGTTTTGGCAAGGCACAGACTATGGCACGCACATAGAAGAGGAGGGGGTGTGCAATCTGACATGCGTGCCATATGAGGGCCCGGACCGAGCAAAACTCTACGTTGAGATTGCCCTTGAATCAGCCGGTGTTGTGCCAGCCATCGTGATACAAGGCATTTTGCCACGTTCCTTACGGCTATTCCTGGAGGTGTTTGTTGCCTTCTGGTTCATGTACTTCACCCAACAGTTTCGACATTCTCATCGGCATGTGCCAGCTGCTGTAGAGTCAGCACCAGCAGTCAGTGGGGGTGATTCCTTCGCATGATGCGCACGATGACTGCAGGCCTTGTGTATCGTGTACAGTTCAACTTACTGCGCCGCAGAATTCCGATGATGCGCTTCTCTTAACTGTCATTCGGATGCCTGCGCGAGCCTTATGTAAAGTCGTCTCATTGCTATGCAGGATCTCAGTGCTTTCAGTGTGCTTCTGACCCGCAGTTCCTGTGTCAGCTCTAAAGCTCTGCAAGCTCGAGCCTACAGAGCCTAAGCCTACGCCACGTGTGCTTGTACAGCAATCTGCTTAGACTTGGTTCGAGGCGCTGCCAAGGATAAAGCGATGCTGTGAAAAGGAAAGGGCATCAGACGTCGAAACGGGGTCTGGGTTAATAAACTTTCAGGGCGAAGCCTCCTTCGTCCCCCCTCTTCCCGCAGGGGGCGAGCACATCAGACGCTTCTGGGATGCTCTCGGATGCTCCCAGAAAGTTTTGCCCATGCACAGGTCTGTTCCTCCATGGGGCAGCTGCCCAAAGAGCTGTGGTCGAGCTTGCTGGAGCTGCTCCTGCAGCAGAGGGCAGAACTTCTGCAGGACTTTCAGCTGTCCTTTTTGAGAAAGGCCTTTCCAAAAGGCCTTTCCAGAATGCAGAGCCCCTAAACCCTAAACCCTAAACCCTAAACCGTAAGGAGCCTCTGAGACCACTCTCTTTGCAGGATCCTGTCGCGGCCCACAACGTCTTGCAGAAGGTCCTCGGCCTCAAGGGCGGGCTCCCAAAAGCCTCCCGGGAGCAGGCGCGCCGATTTCGGGGCAAACTGTAGAGATGAGTCTCATGCTTCGAGTACTCCAATGGATAGAGATTCCTTGAGGGCAAGGGGGTGTGCTTCTCTGAAGAGCTCTCTGTTTTCATCGCTGTCACAAGATGGACTCGGAGAGATGCGTCCCTCCGAGGGCCGCGCCAATTCGCCGCCGCCTCTTAAGAGCTGTTACGATCTGCCGGGGTTCTTGGAGAGTCTGAGAGGCTTCCAGATTCTGGCTCTTCGGCTTGGCGCGACTGGTGCGCCGCCTCAGAGTCGCTCTCGGCCAACTCCTCCTCCGAGAGCTGCGCCGCTGGCCGAGGAGCCACAGCTGGCGGCCGGCCTGACGACGGCCCTGCCCGGGGCCCTCTCGCTCCGCAGCGCGCAGGCGGCCGGCAAATCAAGGCATATTATATATTTCTTGCGCGGTTTGTGCTACAAGTTTGGAGCCAGGAGCCTTTGGCCAAGACGGCACAATGGGCTGCGAAGTCGGCGGCAGCATCTTGGACTCAGGGCCACCGTGCTCGCTTGCCCACGATCGCACACATGAGCTCTGCATCGGCCGGCTGTCAGCCGAGGCACCTTCACTGCTGCTGGCTGCCATGTCCATCTTGTTGCATATGGCGGGAGGAGGCCGACAGAGACGACTGGTGGAAACAGCAATTGACTCATCAAGTTTAAAGGGTTGTTTGCACTGTGAGGGTCGCGAAGCCAGGAGCCTTGATGAGCGCTGCCGAAAAGATTCGGACCGCTGCGCAGGCGGATCCCCCGAAAAAGAACCTGGTTGCAGTTGGTCGACCGAGAATCAATCCCAGTTAGAACAGAATCTTCATGAGTTGAAAGATTATTTGTTGCTGTCGAGATCGGCAGGATGCTGCAGTGGAGGCGATGAGGCCTCCGGTTTTGAAAGGGTGACTTAAGCCGGCCTCAACGGCTGCTTTGTCTCGAGAGTGCGCCGAGTTCAGGATGCGCTCATCAGTTTGGGTCAGAGTTTGGGTCAGAGCTGAAACGCAAAATGAGTATCTGGCAGGAAGGTCGCTGCCGGGTTGCCCTATGTTTTCCAAGCCACTGTGGCGGTTTGTGGAGTGCGGTCACAAACGAAGCTGGCGGTCGCCCAATGCTTTTTTTGCATTCTTGGAGCTTTCCCCCAGCTGGCCGCTGTTGTTCGCCTAGCTCATGGGTGAGAAACGGGTTGCTCGCCCGTTCAGCACTGAAGCGCGAGAGATGTGCTCGATTCAACGTAGGCGACGGTGGATTCAGGTATCTGAGGTCCTAGAGCTTTCGTCTCAGCCGCTCTGAATTTCCGAGCGTGAGGCAAGTGGTTCTCCCCTTCGCTTCTGGCCTCACGCAGCTCTGCGAGAAGGCAAAGGAGGCCGGCCGATGCTTGGCTCCCAAAGCCCGGAAGCCGCAAAACCATGGCCTGAAAGGGTAGCTGATCCTTATATTGAACCTCTTTTTGGGAGGCTGTCTTCGCCTGTTGTCCGCACGGTGAGGCCCCGTCCTGGGACGCCGAGCAGGTCCAGATCGCTGGGCTCACTTGCCCGGGGCCTCGGAGAATGCTTGGGGCCAGAAAGTAAAGGACCCATTGCGGCCATCTCCAGCTAATGTAGGATTGTAAAAAGCATGACGAAGCCCCTTCCTGGGTTTATGTAGAGTTTCGATGTCTGGATCCGAATTGCTATGAGGGATCGGGACTGAGCCTATTCCTTTCCCCAGCTTCCCAACCGCCCTCCGCGTCCGCGCGAGCTGCTTTTGGCAGGTGAGGTGCTCAGCAAGGTGGCGGGAGCCTTTGCGGCCCACTCCGTGCAGGAGGAGCTGGTCACAGAGGTCCTGAAGGTGCTCTTCAGGCGTGAGGGCGGCGGGAGGGCGGCGGGAGCTGATGGTTTCAGCGGTTTGGGCGGTTTTGGGTTCACGCTCCTCCCTGAATTTGTGGGGTTTCGGGTTGTATGGATGGATGTAATATAAGGCCTTTGCAAACAGGTACAGCCTGGCAGCACGGGCCCTGAACCCAGCTGACGGCAGCTTCGCTTCAGCCGGGGAACCCAGGCGGCGCGCAGCAAGACGCATCGGGGGGTTCAAGTAGGGTTTGGGCTTTCGTTTTTTGGAGAATCAGCTTGAAACTCGTGTTGCGAATTGGGGGTCCTTATGACAAAGAGTCCTGCTCTTGCGGGTCTATACAAAGACTCCCGTACCTACTGTGCCGACAGGGGAGACTTTATCTGGCTTCTGTTGGGGGTCTCCCTGAACAATGATGACAATGGGAACCCGACAATTCTGGTGCTAGCCAGGGGTTTCGTTGCGCGTCCTTGCGCTGAGGTGGTTACCAAGGCTTCCGCGGCTCTGTCTGAGGCACACCCAACGGGAATGTTTGGATTTATGGGATTCTGGTAGTTGTGGCCGTCTCAATGCAGCCGCTGGGGTGCAAACGAGCCGGGCCCTTTGCCACTTTGCCATGTCTGGCGCACTGAGGGATTGCTTCCCCAGGCCGACGAGCGAAAGGTTTCAGCACACTGGAATATCCCCGAGCGGGCAAGAGACCCGGTACCGGATCAGTCGCCAAACGGACCTGGAGGACGACGACAGGAGCGCGTGGGTGGAAATCGGCAGCTTGGTGCTGAACCATGAGGACTCCAGGGGGAGGGACTTTGCCACGGAGGTCTTTACCGTGTCCTACAAGGGCAAAGTGATCTGCCAGTCGGGCGATGCTAGGGCACGGGCTGGCAGATTCGACAAGCCCATGGCGGTGCGCGAAGGATCTGCTGAAGCTGTCTTGGAAGTGCTGAAGGAGGTGGCAGCTTCGGAACAGCTCTCCGTCCAGGAGTTCGTCAACGAGCTTCCCCGAGACTTCTCCTGGGTCTTGAAGATGCCTGGGAGCTGAGGCGTGTCCTTGCTTGGTCTGCCTGTACAGCTCTTGCGGACCTGGGCCAATCGTCGTGGAGAAAAGGAAAAGGGCGCCAGCGGTTTCTGGAGGGAAAGCTTGGCTTTGCCTCGCTCTTTGCAGGCCCCGATGCAGCCAGGCCGGCTCTTGTTGCTTCTGGAGGGCCGGGCGGCCTGGAATCCTTTGTGTAAGGGTTGTTTGAGGGCACTGGTCGCTGCTGGGGCGATCTCCGAGGCAGCGAGTTCCGGGGCAGTGCTCTCAAGGCCTCGGCTCACACTCTCTCATGTCACGGTGGGCCGGCCTTGTCTATGGAGAAGGCTGCGAGGGTGGAGGTGGCGGCAGAGATCCTCTGCGAGCAGGAGGGGGAAAGGGGGGCCCGCCTCAGAAGAGAGACCTTGTCTCCTAGAGCCGAAGCCTCGCAGGTTGCAGGGCTTGAGGCCGCGGCGTCGGGGGAGGACTCCGCGAAGTTGCTACGAAAGCTGGCCGAGGTGATCAAAGAGGCCAAGCGGATGGGATGTAGAGCCGGGATATATAAATATAAATATAAATAAATAACTAAATAACTAAATAAATAAATAATATATATATATATATATAGACATATACACGAGGTACTTGAAGCCATGCAGGATGTTGTCCATCAGCAGTTAGTATGTGCCCTGTGACATCGACGAAGGCTTCAGACAACAGAGTCAAACGTCCCAGATGTGTTCAGACATGTGGCTCAGTACATGACTTTGATTCTCAATATCAACATGTCCACAGCTGGACAAAGTAAATTGGGAACTGCATGGACTGGAGGTGGATACCGTTTTTTACACGTGCAGGCTTCGTGATCCGAGTGCCCCTGAATTCAGCAGTGACAGGAGAGCTTCAGCAAGAGTGAAATTAGCGCCATGGCGGCCTTTGCCGACTTTTTCGGCCAGGCGGCGGGCGCCATGCGGCTGGGCCAGACAGCCTGCCCAAACCCTTGGCCCTTAAACCCCAAAATGGCTTATAAGCCCTATAAGTACAGCCGAGCCTTACCTTAAGAACACGAAACTCCACAGATGCCCCCCTCAAGAAGCCCTTTCAAATCGAAAAAGAAGTCCGACACCTTCATCGCTTGCTCAGGACGCCTCAGGAGCAGCTGCGGGTCACGCTGCGCCGGGAGCAGGGGCTCGAGGTCAGGAGTCGGAGGACCGAAGCGCAACGGCGTAGCCGAGGGTTTGCAGGGGCAAACTTGTCAGCGACGTTGATCCTCGGCGCGACGCACAGCTGGCAACAACTCCGGCAAGCACCGTCCGTTCACGAGGTCTTGAACAGCAGGCTGCTCTTCCAGAGAGTAATGGGGAAGGGCTTCGCGAGAGTTGAGGATGATTCCGTCAGATGCAGTTTCCTTTTTGTGCGTATTAGCCTAGCTCAGACTCGCAGAGGAGTTGCGTATCCTTCGGCCAGATGACACTCTCAGCCACTGCCATGAGTGATGCGGTGAACCTGCCGAGCTTTCGGGAGACCTACTTGTACAGATGCACACCGGCGGAACCAGCGGGTTGCTTCTGGATGCTGCATTCTGGGACCATGTCGTCATCGCTCTTAGCAGCTATAGCAAGGGACAGCGGCTTGAATTTGGGCCTGAATCGAAGCTCAGCGGCAGCTGAGGCTACAAGAGGAATGTGCGTTCAAGCGATGTGATCGCCGATTCCGGGTTTCGGGACGAGGAGGAGGACCTGGACCTCTCGCAGATCAGAGCAGCTGTGCAGCATGGAGAACGCAGGGCCTGAGTCAAGGCTACTAAGTTACTCTCAGCTTCGGGGAAGCTCTGCTTTAGAAAATAGAAAATTTGGAGGGTGGTCCAGGGTTAGGACGCGGCTGTGCACCGGTGAAGCGCAGGTACAGAGCCGTCCGCAGCAGCTGAGCCTCTGCATCCCAGCTTGCCCGTCGGCTCTGCCAGCCTCCAGGCGTAGAGATCTGGCGATCTGGGAGCTTCCGAAATCAAGGGGTATACCTTATTTTGGTGTCCTTAAAATAAGGATCCTACTATTTAGGGTACTATATTAGGGTCCCCTATTTTCGGAAACACCCATCTGGCAATCACCCAGGTTTCCGCTAATTAGCGGCCTGTGGTTGTTAGGCCCACGTGGTTGGGTTTCCGCAGAGCATCTGAGGTTCTCAATGCCTGGGCCAGCACCGCCATGAAGTCACTGGCGGGCCTGGCAGGCCCACACCAGAGAGCGGGAGCTGCTGAGCGTCTCCGGATGTATTAGTATCCGCCAGGTGGCCTCCCGCTGGTGCAGGCCATGCAGGCACTTGGCAGTGGGGGTGGCACTGCGCTGGACATGCCGCTGAAGCAGCTCGGACCGAGTGGACGTTCTGCCCATAGACTCGTAGACAGGCTACTAAGTGTAAGCGGGAGATCTGGCTGCGGCTACGAATGGTGCAATCGTGGATGCAGTCATGGAAATAGTCTGAATCTCGGCACTAGGGTCAACAATGCCTACGCGCATGCATGTCAACTTCGCAGGACCAGGGGGGATACACCAAATATCAAGGCAGCATTGAGCTTCCTACGGGAACGGCTTGACAAAATGTTGCTGACACTGACGGTCACTCGCAGTCCTTTGGGGTTCATGCCGCAGTCAACGAACTATCCGTGACTGGGCTCTTCTCCAATGCCCCATCGGCCCCAGAAGAACCCTGCAGTGGTGTATCAGGGAGACGTGGCCTGTGCTCTGAGGCTTGGGGGCGTCGGTTCCATCGACGCATTCCTCGAGGAAAGCGAGAAGTCCCTCGCGACCCACGTGGGGCTCTTCTCCTTGAGACTCGGGCCGCCCTATAAAGGATCCTTCTAAGAGGCTAGTAGAAGCGCTGAAGTACATAATTACATCGTGCGTCCCCCAGATCAGATCCATTTTTTGTGGCTTCTTTTGGCCTGGCTCAGGACCTCCGCCGTGATGTTCATCGGGTCGATCAAGGGCCTGAACAAGCACTCCACGGCCCGGGAGGGGAACTACATGGGAGCCTCGGCCTCCCACAGGTTTTACTGGGCTGCAAAGCTGCCGCAGATCGCCTCTTCGCCTCCGCTCCCTTCATCTGAGGAATGGTTGCCACTGCTTTGGGCATCCTCTCCGTGCTGCTGTCCCCTGGTTTCCACTCCGCACACATCCGCCCCTCGGCCTCTCAGGCCCTTCAAAGCAGGCAGCAAATGCGACCCCTGCGTGACGTCAGGTTTCTTCCTTACCTTCTTGGCGGCGGGCGGAGTCGGCTATGGCATTGCCAGCACCGTGAAAATGGAGGATATGCCGCAGCTAGCAGCTTGGCAAAGTGAGCAAATGCAGGTCGTCGTTCTTATGCTTGGGCTTGGAACACGTTACCGTCACAGGTTGCGGGCTTCCATTCCTTCGTGGGCTTGGCCGCGGTCTTCGCCGGCTTCGCCAGCTACTGCAACGTGGCAAACCCCTACACGGTGATGAAGGCGCTAGAGACGGTGGTGGGCATAGCCATCGGCTCACTGACCTTTACTGGCTCCGTGGTAGCTGCCGGGAAGCTGCACGAGGTGATTCCGGGCAAGCCCATCATCCTCCCACAGCGCTGGCTCTTGAACAGCGGGGCCTTGGCCGGAAGTGTAGTTCTTACGGCCCTCTTCCTGAATCCTGCAACCTATGCATCGCATGCAGGGGCCGCCCTGCTCTTAGGGAACACAGCCTTGTGGGGGTTTCTGGGCGTCAACATGGTCTTGCCCATTGGTGGAGCGGACATGCCGGTGGTGGTGTCGCTCCTCAACGCCTTTAGTGGCCTGGCCACCAGCGCCGCCGGCTTCATGCTCTCCAATGACCTCTTGACTATCTCTGGAGCTTTGATCGCCTCCAGCGGTACGCTGCTCTCGGACATCATGTGTCGTGGGATCAATCGCTCCATGTACAACGTCCTCCTGGGCGGTTTCGGCACAGACTCCAGCAGCACTGCAGCCGGGGCGGCGCCCACAGGCGGGAGGGAGAATGTGAGCGAGGTCTCGGCAGTTGGTTTCGTCGGCATGCTCTTCGGGGCAAAGAAGGTCGTGATCGTTCCAGGCTACGGCCTTGCAGTCGCAAGGTGCCAGCAGAAGTTGGCAGAGATTGTGGCCATGCTGAGAAAGCATAATGTCACAGTGCATTTTGCTATCCATCCTGTTGCTGGCCGTATGCCGGGCCACATGAACGTGCTGTTGGCAGAGGCTGACGTACCCTATGACATTGTCAAGGAGATGGACGAAATTAACGCGGAGCTTCCAACCTACGACGTCGGGATTGTGGTCGGAGCCAACGACATCGTCAATCCTGCCACGCAGGACCTAGCACCTATAGGGCCTATAGGGTCAGGGCACTTCAAGTCGGGTCAGGTCCCTCGGAACACGGGGATCTTGACGTGCGCCTTTTGCTAATGTTGAGCTTTCTTCGAGGACGATCCAAGCAGCCCGATTTATGGCATGCCAGCCATCGAGATCTGGAAGTGCAAGCAGTGTGTGGTGCTTAAGCGTTCTATGGGAACCGGCTACAGTGGCGTGGACAACCCCCTCTTCTACCTGAGCAACGTCAAGATGCCACTCGTCGGTGTTTTAAAGCGACAGCTGAGCCCCTGAGAATCCAAGAGCCTCCCTCCCTTGGAGTCCAAAAGAAGGCTCTTCGGAGATGCCAAACAGTCCATGGACAACATCAGCAGCTGCTTGGAGGAGCGGTCCTCTCAGATGTGTTCTCAAGACGGCAGAAGCAGTCACTCCTGGGGACTTCTCAACGGCATTGCAATAACCCGAAAACTGCCCGAAAGCCTTCTTGTCTCGAAGACCTGGCTGCCTCGGCAGGACAGCCAAGACCGCTTCACCGCCGCGGCGGGCGCCAGCTCCTCGGGTGATCAGCACGACACCGCCCAAGGCCGCGCCGCACAGCCCGCGCCGCACAGCCCCCTCCCTGGAACCACCTGCAGAAAGTCTCATCCGGGCAGGCGTGGAGCCGGAGGTCTTCCCGGAGGCGGTCCGGGTCCTCGGCATCCTCCGGGAGCGGCTTCCAGGCGCGCGCGCCGTGCGCGCCCCGTCCGACCGATCCTGCGCCGCGAGCAGTTTCCAAAGGGGCCGAGATGCTCTCGCAGGCGAAGCTCGCGTCAGCTTCGCGCCCTCGGCCGTCGTGAAGCTGCGGCGCATGGGTTGCTCAGGCGGCAGGAAGAGGGTGAAGAGCCCTCTCGATGTGCTGCGAGTCGCTTCGAGAGTCGTCGCGTCGCTTCCTTCGCCTCGCCTCTTTCCGAGGCTTCTCGATTTTGTTGGAGGCCGGCTCCGGCACTGCCGCGGGCTTCACGGACGAGGAGTACACGAGGCACGGCGGTGTTCAGGTCGCGGAGAGCTCCGTGGAAGTGCTGAAGCAAGCGGACATCATCTTCAAAGTCACCGAGCCCTTGCTGGACGAAGTCCAGATGCTACAGGGGACGCAGACGCCCCTGCCTCGGCCTGGCCCGAAAGCCCGAAAGCCCCCCCAAAACTACCCCCTCCAAGTCTAAGTCTTCCCAAGGATGGTGGGCTTCTGGAACATGTACGGCACCCAGGAGCTCCTCGCGGCCCTTGCGCAGACCTCCGCCTCGGTGCTGCGCCCCGGCCGCATTAAGCTCGGATCATGGGGGACGTTGACGTTTCTCCAGTAGGCTCATTAGAGGGTTTACCTTAAGAACCCAAAACCTACTTTTTTGTAGGGTCCCTATAAATCCCATATTAGGGTTTATAATAAGAACCTACAAAAAAGGTGGGTTTTGGGTTCTTAAGGTCGGGATGTTTGGGGTTTCGATATTTGCCCCCCAGAGAGAAGGATGTCGGGGGGCCTCAGGAATCTGGCGCTGGTGCCGCGGGTCTCCCGAGCGCAGAAGCTGGATGCCCTGACCTCCATGGCCAACATCGCAGGACGCCTTCTTTGTGCTATACCACTAGACTGCTACCATTACTGTAAGACTTGATTCATACTCTTTGCAACGCCCGTAACATACCGATACGCAGACGAGCAACACAAAATCCGTGCACAACGATCGGGAGCGTCAGTCGCTAAAACTACAACTATATAGACTTCGGAGAGAAATCCAAACACTCTGCAGAACTCGGACTGGGTTGGGAAGTTGCAGCTCCCTGAGGCTACCGAGCCATCTTGGATGCTTTCGGACGCTTCCCGCGTTTCAGCCGCGCCGGGTCCACGGCTGCCTCGTCAGCAGCTTCCGATTCCTTTCTTTCGCACCTACAGGGTCTATGAGGAGGATGAGGTGGCTTCTTTTCTTTAAGTCTTGGCGACACATCGTGTCGCTCCTCAGGCTTTTGGCTCGGTTCCACCGGCAAAAGTCTTCGTGATCGGCGCCTTTGCTGAAGAAGTCTTTCGGAGGGCTGCAGTTCAACAGTTCCGTTTGGTGCTCCCGCAAGCTCAGAAGTGCAGATTGCATGGCTCGATGTAGGGCGTCGCCTGCACGTCTTAGGTGCAGGCGTCGCTGGGCTGAGCGCGATTGCAACGGCGCACTCGCTAGGTTGCAAGGCCAGGAGAAACTTCATGCCTCTGCCTCTCGTGACCCGTGCTTGGATTCTTCTGCCGCTGACTTGGCCAGGTCTTTGCGAATGACGTGCGCGATGCCGCCCGCGAGCAGGTGGAGTCCATGGGCGCCCAGTTCATCGCCGTCGACGCGCAGGGCATCGCAGGCTCGTCCCGGAAGTTGTTTTTCGCATTTGAAGTAAAGCTTTTTTGTCCATCGAGGTGAAGGTGCTGGTGGGTATGCCACGGCCAAATCCCAAGTGAAGTTCCAGCTTCATGGGCGCGCTCTGTCTTTGTGAGTGTTTGAAGGTCATGGGGGAGGATTTCACCCGGGCTCAGATTGCCACCTATGCCCGGGTCATCCCTGACATGGACCTGCTGAGGGGTGGGTCACTGGGTGGGTCTCGCTGTAACGAAGCCGACGTTGAGGCCAGGGCTAGGAGGGTTGAAGATTATGCTGAAAGGACGTGATTGTCACCACGGCCATGATCCCAAACAGAGCTGCACCAGAGCTGATCACCAGCGAGATGGTGGCCAGCATGCGGAAGGGGTCGGTGATCATCGATCTGGCGGCGCAAACCGGTGGCAACTGTGTGTACACGGAGCCGAACAAGGCGGTCGTCTCTCCGAATGGCGTGACGGTCGTCGGAGCGGCTCTGTCGCAGGGAATTGGGGTTCCTGTTACGCTGCTGTTTCTTCGACGAGAGCCACTGTGTCTTAGGAGACGAACTATGCATCCCAGATGGCATCGCAGTCAAGCGAGATGCTGGGAAGCAACTTCACTGCCATGCTGGAGGCCTTGGTCTTGGGTCTTGGGCCTGGCGAGTGCAAAGTCGAGTGCATGGCCCGGCCCCTCTGCAGGTGCTGGGAGGTGCCGAGAACTTCGGTGGCGAGCACTGGGACGACCCAGTTGTGAAGCCAGCGATCGTGGCGCGCGGGGGCGCTGTTGTTTGGGACCCCAACCCACCCAGGCAGGAGCGAGGAGCGAGAAAGATAAGCAGAAACAGAGAGTTGTTGTTCCATTTGTTTCAGTCTCAGGCCCCCGGCGGCGGCCCCGACGGGGACTGCGGTGGAGGGCAACGGCATTGGCGGCTTCGGCGGTGCCTCGCCGATGCCGCTGCCACCACCGGAGGAGGCAAATGCTGTGATCGCCTGGATCCAGGCACCAGCGTCGGCGGGGGCGACCGCATATTTTGAAATGACCGACTTGCTTGCATGCTGCAGAAGCATGCTTCAATTAACTCGCGTCTGCCTGGTCTCACTCTCAAGATCCGACATATGGCGGTTTGCTTCTCAAAGCGCAGAACAGCTACGCTCCATGGCAGGAGCACAAGGACGAGTTGGCACTGGGCGTGGGCGGCGCCGTGGTGCTTGGCTTGGGCCTCGCAGTGGATATCCCCGAGGTACCGAAGGGGGGGCTGGGGCTGGAACCCATTCAGAGTCTCGGGACGAGTGAGAAGGGTTTGTGAATCGGGGGTTCAGGGTTTTCTTGGCATACTCCCAGTGTCGAGCTGCATTCTTTTCCGATTGGAGGCAGAGGTCACGCACCTGGGCTACTTTGTCCTCTCGTGCTTGATTGGAGCCTTGGAGGCAAACTCAAACATCTGGCCGAGCTTAATTGAAGGAGCTGAATTGGACCCAAACAGGCCTAAGGCAAGGTAGACGCGGCCCGTCGTATGGAAGTCGGGGGAGTGCTGTCGCAGAGACCGCAGGCTCATAGTCGCCATGCAAGGAAACTTTACAGTGGCCGGCGTGACTCCGGCGCTGCACACTCCGCTCATCAGTGCATCTAGGAAGCAACAGGAGCAGGTGAGGCCACGGGCCACATGGCCAGAACATGACATGCCTCTGTGTTTCTCCCATGTTGTGCCTGTGCCTTTGGACTGTGAGGTGACGAATGCCATCAGCGGCATCATTGTGGTGGGCGGCATGCTGCAACTCAGTGGCCCCGTGCTTTCTGCGCGTGTGGCCTGTGCTCTGGCAGCAGTGTTCCTCTCGAGCGTGAACATCGTCGGTGGCTTTGCCGTCACGGCTCGGATGCTGGACATGTTTCGAGAGGATGCCAACCCAAAGAAGGCTCTGGCAGAAAGGTCCTGAGGGCGCTGACACGCCGGGACTTGTACAAAGCTCGCATCTTGCGTTCGTCGAATTACCTCACTGAGAGTGCCCAGCGGGCATCTCACCACCACGAAGGGATGACAGAGGGAAGTCAACAAAAGGGAACCTGCAGCCTGCAGCCTGCAGCCTGCAGCTTTCACTGAGCCAAAGAGCCGAAGTGTCGGCACGTGCCGGAGGGATCTCACAAGCTTTGAGAGGCCGGCCGCCAATCCGGCGGAGGCAGCTGCCGACTTTGACTTGAAAATTTCACCTTCCATCGCTTGGCTCCGACGCCCACAGGTGCTCTGGTGCCCCTACTGCTTGCACTCGCCGCTCTGACGGACAAGCTGACGCAGGCCTGGTTGCAGGTGCCTCGATTTCTTGATGGAGGACTCATTTTGAAGCGTGCGCGGCGTGTCGAAAGGCAGCTGCCGACGGCTGGGATGCGCTGGCCTGAGCTGACAGCCGACTTTTAGTCGGAGCCTGTTGACTTAGCCGCCCTGGTCCTGTAGAAGACGGTCCCATGCGGTAAGCGTTCAGCTATGCCCGACCAGCCATGAAACTTCCTGGGGGAGCCAGAGAAAGCCGCATCGGTGGGTTTCGCATCACGAAAGGACAGCAGCCGAGCTGCAGAGCACTAGTCACTAGTGAGTGTCCAATGTGGTGGGTCCTAAGCCCACGATCAAACTTGACGGGAGTAGGAGTAGTCTTCAACTAGCAAACAGCGCCCCCCTGCTAAGCGTCACTGCTAGCGCTGTTGCCCCTTCCTTCTGCATGGATGCCTGAGGCTGGATGCTCCGGTGAATATTTTGTGATTATTCGTCCAAAGTCAATCGTTCCTGTTGGACAAACTAAGATAAACAACATCGACAGCAACCCCTTTCAATCCGTGCTATGCCAGCACAACACTTGAAGGGTTCTGAGCGAAGACATACCAGTTGTCACATTGATAAGAACAGGTTCTACACTTGATCATAGCCGAAAGACCGAGAAGGTATGCACCAGGGTGATTTTTCCAGATTTGCTGTGCAAGTGGCAAGTGCACTGTGTGCAACGTTTACATTCTTCAGGCAAGGCCCGAGGGACATCTTCAACCTTGAGGAAGTGGGTTTGACTAAGGAACTCAACTGCTGCGTAGTAATCACTGCAAAGCCCTTGTGTGCCTGCCACTGGGCCTGGCGACGCTGAGGTCTCTGCCGTTGCAGATGAGGTTCCCGACGTTTGCCGCTGCATTGACCAGGCCAGGAAACAACTTCGCGATGACGGACAAAACCCCACTCCTTCGCAAAACAGCCCTCAGGCAGCCCCTGAGCCGTTTGAAGCTCGATCAAACGCCCAGCCCAAACCCTTGGAAATCCCAAAGCATGAAGTTCCTGGTATAGAATCCGCACAGACCTTCAAGACTACATGGCTTTCCTTTTTTGGAGGTCGCTGCGACGCTGCCGTCGCAGGGTTTGGCTCCCGTGCTGCGATGTTGCGGAGGACTCGCCACGCTGGCGATGCTCGGCACGCTTTCGGGTGCTTGTGGGCTTTCTGTGCGAGGAGCCGGGGAAATTCCCCTCTCTTATGAATATACTCATTATTATAATATTGTTACATGAAGTGTTGCTCTGGAAAAGGCCTGCTTTCCCAGAAGCCAGGCGGCACCAGGTGTGGAGGCAGCCTTTGCGACGTGCACCGGGGCACTTCGACACCACGTGGCCTGGAAGAAAGCGTCGAACGTCGGCGAGCTGCGAGTGGAATTGAGTGGCGCTGAGGCACAGCCGCTGCGCCCAGAGCTCCTGGCATTGCTCCGAGGCAATCTCAGGAGGCTTTGGAGGTGCGACAAAGAAGGGCAAAGATGTCGGGTTCCAGTCTCGGAGTTGCCAGGCAGCCGCTCACCGAGGAGAGCGATTGGGCCTTGCAGGCCCAGGCCGGGCCCGGCCCGTTTCCCAAAGCGTCGAAAGAGAGAAGGAGAGTGCTGTTCACGCCCCTCCAAAGAATCCCCAAGGACTAGAGTCTAGAGGGCCCTTGCGGCCAGGGGGTTTCGCACACCCCCTATGCCCTGGAGAAAAAGTGCTGAGAGAGGTGCGGCTGCGGACTTTGCTCGGAACCATCTTTGACAGCGGTCTCATCGAGGAGGGACAACATGATTTCACCAATCATTTCCAAGCCGAAGTTGTTTGCAAGGTGTCCAAAAGCAATTGCTTGGCCCTTGCCCAAAGCGCGGGAGTCAGGCCGATCTACATGAGCCTACCAGTTTGTTGAGTCTTGGATGACCTCCGTCATGGCCTAAGTGCGGAACGCAAGGGCGTCGCTGGACTTCATCCTTTTTCTGCTTCTGGCCGCGACCTGAGCGAGTTGATTATGGGTTCTACAAACAGAGTATGAGTATTGCTACGCAATTACAAGTAACGGTCTTGCTGCTTGTAATCATCATCAGCATTCTCATTTGCTACAATTGCTGCTGCGGTTCGTGGTCTTGAAATGATCATAATCATCATCTATGTTCACGTGTTCGCCTCAAGATCTTCGAGAGAACGGAAGATCCAAGTCGAGGTCCACCGTCTCGCACGGCCTCCACCCACACCGAAGAGGTGGAGCTTGGGGTTTTGGGGGCGCAGAATATAGATAGAGTGATATAGTGGTTCTCTGGTTCACGATTCTAGGGTTTAGGGCTCAGGGGTTTCGAGGTTTGCTATCTATCCCCCTTGCAATCAGAAGCTCAAAGAGCAAGCTGTGGGTGGACGAACTTCAAGAACACACAGCAGGAAGTGCAGTGATGCATAGAAGCTGAAAGTGCCGGCCTTCGCATGAGACTATGTATCACATCATATAATGTTATGTTATGTTATGTTATGCTATGTTAAGTTGATCTTTGGAGACTTGCCTGGAGCTGAGCTTTTTGCCAGGCGCAAACGGAAGCGCCGTTCAGAACCCCATGAGCTGGAGGAGGCCCAAGACTGGCGGTGGGGCCGGCATTGTCTCTTTTCCGAACCAGGCATTCCTAAATCAGTACCAGGCCGTACATGGATCTGTCTCCCAGCATGCTCTGTGAGGCTACCGAGAATTACAACCAGCTTAACAAACAGATACGTATATAAAGCCATATATAGATAGATAGATAGATAG